TTATCCATCCCTGCCCCAGCATCCTTCTTTCGAGGGTCGGGATAGATGGGGGGCTGTGGTCTACACAGCCAGCGAGGATGGATAACTGGCAGTTAGGATAATGACGAGTAGCCGTCTAAGTTGGCTTTTGCCACATCCCAGCTACTATCGGAAGTCAGCAAACACACACACACACACATGTACACACACACACACACGCGCGCGGGGACAGCGGCAGCGGCTTCGCGGCGCGCACGGTGGCAGCTCAGGCAGTGTGAAGTTGGACGCGCGTTTCCGTCTAGGCACTCCCTACCTTCTGAGGCGCTTCTGCAGGTGAGCCGAGCGCTGCCGCCTCTCTGCAGAGGAACGTCTCCGGGGCTTTTTCAGGGTTTTTCTTTCCTTCTCCTTTCTGTCCCCACTCTCTTTTTCTTTCCCTCTTCTCTTTCTCTTCAGTCTCTCCACGGACTTGAGCTCCGAGTTTCTCCACACCAGAGACTGGAGTGGGATTTTATAGCGTCGACCCTCTTCAGAAACCACGCAGCATTTGCCTAATAAGCTGACGTTCTCTTGACAGCTCGATTGCGTGCTGCCTCTGCTCCTGCATAAATCATAGGGCCCTGCCAGGGAGCCAGGGGCAGAATTTTTGCTATCTCAACACTGGATCTCACATCCAATTATATCAACAGATATTTATCGCCTCCTTGGTGACGTCAACCAGCCCTAAAATGGAAGGGCTTCGTATGACTTGTCCATTGACAAAAATTCTTGAATGAGATTTCCCAAGTGCTAAACATACTGACCTCTTACTATGAAAGGCCAAGTGGAGGATCAGCACAGAGGCAGTGAACGGGAGGGAAAGCGGGAGGGAAGGGAGGTCTAGCGATGCACAGCCCTGTGGGGGGAAGCAGCAGCCAGCCGGAGGGGTGCCTCTGGCTCTGGACCCTCCTCTTTCCTTTCCCCCCTAACTTCTTTGACCGGTTGTCTTGGGCAACACCTCATTATGTTGAAAATAACTCTTTGCTAGAGACGAAGTGTCCCATCACCTTCCTGCCTGGATAAGAGTGAAGAATAAAGAGAAGGAAGCCCAGGGACACTCCGCTTTTAAGCCTCTATCTGCTTTTTCATCCCAAAAATAGATAAAAGAATTATGAATCTACAGAGGCAAGGCTAACATGTCTCTTGAAATGCAGCTCAAGTTTTTAAAATGATAGCAAGAGCTACTCCCGTGACGCAGGGGTCAGTCTCAGTTGCAGCAAAGATTTTAAGTTCTTTCAGAAACTCACTGCTCCTCCTCTGTCTCTTCTCTCAGAATCTGAAATTGTGGTCTTTTCTATTCTGAAATTAGAGAGAAAGGACCAGCGACGTGCATGAATTAAACAATCTTTATTTACTCCACCCAATGCAAACCCAATGAGAGAAGCATCCATTCGAACTTCCTATTTCATATTGAAAAAAGGCTTAAACTGCTTGATAACAGGGCTGAATTCATCAGTTGTATGTTTTCATTGATCAATACTGAGCCCATAAAAAGGTAATCTCATTCATTTTACTTCTAAATACTTAATATCCATGATAGTATCCATATTGGGGGCACCCAGGTGTGTGTGTGTGTGTGTGTGTGTGTGTGTGATCATTTCTTTTTCCAAATTCAAATGTGCTCCACCGGAGCCTGAAAAACAAATAAATGCTCCCTGGCACTACCACAGAATGGAATGCCTATAGCACCACACTCAAATTTTGAATTAAACTGACATTATCATATAGGTGGGAGGCAGTTACCTCTAATTCTGCAATTCAAAATGCGATTTCAAACTCTGTTGTCTGTGCTTCTAAATAACCATCAGAGCTGTTTATCAGAAATTTTCTGTTTCTCATGTCTGGTACCTCTGCTGTTCCCTTTGTCGCCTAACATGACAAATAACGTAATGCATAGTTCAACTCCTATTTTGGGTCTACACCAATCCACAACTGCTCTAAGAAACAAAAGGAAGGTAGAAAGAGAAATTCTGGCAGTTTCCAGAGAAGTCCTGGCATACTTGGATCACTGACCTGAGAAAAAAGAGAAAGAAATTTGTCTTCTGGGAAAGATGTGAATTGTTAATAGAAAGTCACGATTATGGGAAATGTTTGAGCGTTTAGAGGAAAGCTGTGTTTTATGTTGGTAGCAGGCATACAGAACCTTAGTTTTTGTTTTTGTGAGCTTTTTTTCCTTTTTAAGCTGGAATGAATCTCAATTTATTTATTTATTTATTTATTTATTTATTTATTTATTTATTTATTTATTTATTTGCTTACTTTCCTTTATGAACCCTTCTTTGTCCCTATTGGCAGATAGCAGCTTGGATGTCAATCTGGAGGTAGAATTGATTTGGGAGGGGCGTCCGGGTAAAAGGATACAGAAGAAGAACTGGAGAAATATAAGGCCAGGGGTTTAGCTGGGGAGGCCTGAGAGGTTCCTCCAGAGATGACCCAACATGTTTTGGCCTTATCCTGTTGGGCCACATGGAGGATGTTGTTCTAGCCTGACTCCCTCATTGTGTTGAATCCTTGCTGTAAGATGTTCCTCGAGTAGGTAGTTGGTTAGGGACAAAGTGGCTCTGACGAAAAGTGAGGAACAAAAGGCCTAGATGCCAGAGAACCAGGGTCTGTGCAGAGCAACCCCTACTCACAATTTATCCAAAAGTTAGATCTCATCAAATCACTGAATGTTCACATTAGAAATGACTGGAAGAGATTATTTGGTTTCAATGAGAACCAGAGAGGTTAAGTGACTTACATGAAGTCACTTAACTAGTTGGTGGTAGTTCTTTTGACTACCAGCCTGTGTTATTTCCCTACGATAATAGTCCCCTTTGAACTTCCTTTGCCAGCAGAGACACGTGAACAAAATGAAGGGAGAAGGTGAATTTAGGTAAAGTGGCATATTCACACATCAATCCTGTGGTACCTTGTCTTAGACTTTACTTATATTGATAAGCCTTATCCCATATAAATCTCCTTGGCATGAGAACACAGAGCTGCTCTGTGCAGGCTGATGCCCAGGCCCCTGAATTTAGGTATCCGTGTGCACACACTGCAATCTCCCTTTCAGCCAAATCTTGTGATTATAACATGAGGTCTTTAAGTGCATTGCCAATTTAAGGTGCATTAATTTGATATTTCACCTAGTTCACCTTGGAAAATAGAGATCTTTTGATAAAATATAGAGTAAGGTGGTTCTCAAAATAATGATACAAATGTGTGCAGTGAATGAAATACCCAAGCCTATGAAAATTGCACTGACAGGTTTGGTCTTACACGTAGGAATAACTTCTTGAAAGGAGTCATTGGAGAACCAATTTAAATAAAACATAATACAGGACATAGTTAAGATTAAAAACACATGGCACAGCAGTCTGATGAATAAAGAACTATCAGAAATAAGAGGTAACTGTTGGGGTTATTCGCGTCATCAGCATCTCGTTGCATTTGGGGGGAGTATCCCAATGGGTGCTTCTATTAGCAAAGTTCATGGCAAACAAAGTCTCCATGTTTGCTAAGGAACATTTGTTGAAATGAATCTACCATCTCCAATAACAGCCTTTCAAAATGCCTAGCAGAGACAGGTGGTTTGGTACTTGTTTTTACTGTGCTTCAGATTAGCAACAAGCTACTTTCTGCATCAATAGGCAGGGCTAGGGAAAGGATCTCAAACAGCACAAATATCTAACCACTTCATTGGAAACAATAACGTCTAGTAAACTCTTCTGATTATCAAAGCCATTCATCCTCCTTAAAGAAAGTTTGGAAAAATTAGAAAACTGTAAGGAAGAATACAAGACTCCTCAGATTCCAGAATCTAAAGGTAATCTCAGTTAATAGTTTGTTGTTTCCCTTGAGAATTTTTCCTGAGCTCATATATTTTATGTAATTGAGATAACACCATGTTCCTAATTGTGAATATCTACTTAAATAACAAAAATAAAACCCTCTTATTTACAATTAAAAATTAATCAGTTGAAAGAATCTTTCCCAGATTCCTAGATTAGGTTTATGAGCTGTGCTCTGTATCCTTCTAACATCATGAATGTCCTCCATGATAAAAGCTCACATTTTTAAATCATTACTGGTACAATATGTGTCTTCCTTGCTGGACTGTAAACTGTGTGACAGAGACTTGACTGTATTTAGAAATTGCCATATTCATCACTCCAGCCCCTCACACAGTGCCAAAACATGGTAAGTATCCAAAAATCTTTTGAATGGATTTTGAATGGATTTGAACTATAGAAAATCGGTTGAATGATTGAAGTATAAAAAACTCATCAATAAGCCTATCATCCAGAAATAACTAGATAGCATTTAATAACTAAAATTTTGTAATCTGCTTTCTTCCACTTAAAATTATCCCTCATTTTCCTTTATCTAAATGACATCCATTTTATTGACTGCATGGTATTCCATCAAGAGATGTACCATAATTTCTATTCATTCCTCATTGTTGATCACCATCCTAATAACCTGCTTTTTAATTTTTCTTCTACATCTTACCCTTGCACCTTGCACCTTCAAGTAAGACACCCACAGAATCATTTCCCGATCCTTCAAGTATAAACAATATCTGTTCACACCCCAGATTGTAAAATGAGAATATTACTATCCCTTCAGATTTTCACACACCCTTCTGCACCTAGATCTCCTATGCTCTGTCATCTGTATTTTCACTTCTATATTGTCACTGTTACTATTTTTATAACCAGTTAAGTCTTCTGCTTTGACCATAGATTGATCAAAGTTAAAAGTCAATATAGTTTTAAATTATTGACTATGTAAAAATTGTTCACTGCGGACGGAACAAAGTCATAGGCTCTGATTACATTTTCTTTCCTGTTTTTGTTTTATAATTACCAGTTGCTTTTTTTAAATCTTCACAGTTTCTTTTAGAAATACTGTCTTGGGCCGGCCGGGTGGCACGATGGTTGGGAACTGGCTTGGGATGCCAGAGGGCCCCGGTTCGGATCCCACATATGAGGGCCAGTGACACTGCCCTCTGCAGCTAGGATGCTGGGTGGCAGCTCGACCTGGAGCTGGGCTACCGTGAGTTGCCAGCGACGGTGTAGGCTGCAGCCCCTGTGGCAGTGGGTTGCCATGGGCTACCGTGAGCAGCCAGCATGAGCGGCCAGCAGCCGCAGTGAGCGGCCATCCAGAGGCCGGCGACTGATTTGCCTCACCCAGGAAGACAGCAATGATGGTGCCAGCTTGGGCCGGTCAGGCAATGTCTTCCACGGCTGGACTGAAGAGCAAAACGATGGCAACTTGTCTGTTCCCTTTCCCCCGATTCCCCGGCACTCTTCCCATCCCCCCAATTCCCCAATAAAAATCTTTAAAAAAAAAGAAAAGAAATACTGTCTTAATTATGTTCCCAATCTTTTTCAGATTTTCAATTATGACAAGTAATCTATCAAACCTTCCCCTTCTTTTCAAGACCCCTTTTCTTGAGCATTTTAACCTGCTGCTCTCAGACTGGCCACTTTCTAAATCTGATGCACAGCTGTCTTACTGGGACTTCTCTTTTCTTCTTTTCTGAATTAAATCACTGTCTGTAATCACATGATTTATTCTTTCTTGATGACTGCATTTATTTTGCTAGAGCACATCCACAGATTACTTTCTAAGAAAGGATGTACGGTAGATAAATTTTCTGAGTTCTTGCATTTCTGAAAGTGGTTTTATTTTACCCAGATAATTGAGTGATACTTTAGCAAGGTATATAATTCCAGTTTGAACACAA